CAAAAAGAGAGAGAGAAAGGGGGCCTGGCGAGGATGTTTGCCCCAGGGTCCATGCTGGCTCTCGACGTTCCTGCAGTATCACCAATCTATTACTGCTTCAAACATCTACCAATCAGGTCTACCCTAGTGTTTCAAATGTGCAAGGATTTTTTGGAATGAACAAGAGCTACAGCAAAAGTAAAATAAGTCAAAAATCTTGGTGCAAGACATTCTGTCAAGATTAATAGGCAATTCTGTTGTCATATAAAGCTATTTCAAATACAGTCTGTTTTTAAAAGCATTTTTTATGGATCTAAACATTAACTTTTAATTAATATTGACTCAAAATTAACAGCTAATTAGTATGGACTCAATTAATGTAGCTATAGACAAATTCTACAGTGTTAATAAGTAACATCACTAAAAAAAAACAGTTCTGTTCCAGCAGAATAATTTCCATACTCTTCCTTGGTCTCCTGGTCCCACTCTACGACTAGATTCAGATGTTGTGGCCCCATTAAAGGGGTAACTTTTGATGTGTCTAAAGCATGATCAACAGTTGGCATATACAATGGATGATCAACATCACTCGGAAGATAACACTTTCCAGGAATTCCACCAATGACCCTCAGACGTAGAACAATTCCAATGTTCTAAAAAAATACCCATAATCATTAGTTTCTGATCAAAGAAAGCTACTTAAATAGATAAGAACTAAAAATTAACCAAGTAATTAATATAGCCAATTTAATACAATATTATTCTAAGTGAGAATCATAAAACAAAATTTTATAATGATTAGAACACAATGACTCCATAGTTGGGTAACCTTGCTGTTATCAGTAATTTTAGGGTGTAAACCCAATAATATCTCATAAGGTTCAGCCATCTTAGAAGATTATACACTAAGCTAATAATGCGATTAGATCAAATGAATAAGTTTTCTTAAAGAAACCTAATCAACAACAGGAAATCACATACAGTTTTGAAACCTAGCAAGGTTCTGTGAGCCTTATGAAACAGTAACTATTCTTATAAAGAAAAATTGAACAACTGCTTAGTATGGTAAAAACCAATTAATTTCAGAAAACAATGTTAATAAATTTCAATACAGAAACTTGAAATGACTAAATCATTAAAATAACATAAACCAGTTGAAGAAAATGTCTAATAAAATTATGTTAAAACAGAGAAACACAGAATTTAATTGGTTATCTAAATGAGTGAAAAAAATTAATTTTTATTATGGAATTAAGAAACATTATCAACTGTCCAAGTGAAAACAATGAAACAAAGAATCTTACCTCTAATGAAACATCATTTTGTAAAATGTTACTCATTGCCATAAGTATCTGTTTTTGGATTTCTTTGAATGTGGATTCCCTGGAGATTTGGACAACGTATGGAGAACCAAACCTAACAAATCATAATAAAGCAATGTTTGTGATCCAGTTTACAGCAGACAAAAAGAATGATACACAATGCTCCTTGTTTCCAAATACTATAAAAAAAATTTAAGCAACAATTAAACACATATATGTATCTATGGTAATAATACATGGATGAGTACCTAAGCCTTACAGTCTATTTTTTTCCACTAGAAACAGTATTCTATGTGAAGGCTCTGTTTCTGGTCTTGAGTCTGCTGGAGGGTTCTTTACAATATACTGAGGTTAGTGTTGTCCTTTTCTATATATGCTTTCTATAGTCCATCAGTTACATGTGAATGAGAATTTCCAAGGGCACAGAATTCCATGGCTCATATCACTGAATAGTGTTGTTACGACAGCGGAAGTCACGTGACGCTGGTAACATGTGATGAATTTCTCGAATGATCATGAATTATCAAGGAAGACCGTGTTTGTTCGGGACGCCCTCTTTTTTAGTATATATATATATATATAAGCCTGGCAGAGAAAGCCTGTGGGAATGAATGCAGAGAGTTCCAGGTAATTTACGATTCTGTTTCAAGCTAGTGTTTTGCACTCGTAGAAAGCGAATTTATCGAGATTGGGAATTGCTGTGATTTATAGCGTGTTTTATAAAAGTAGTTAAGTTTAAAGTAACAGGAAATGTACTGATTGTGAAATTACTGTGTACT